CTCGGGGCCCTGCTGCCCTCGGCCCGGCGGGGGCGGCCCGGGGCTCCGTCCCGTCCCGCCTGAGCGCCCGTGGCCGTGGGAGAGCCCGGGCCCGTCCCGACTGTTCCCAGGACGCTGGGGTCTGCTCGCGCCGCGCTCAGCCCGGCTTGGCAGGAGGATCGTGATGGCACATGAAGCGTCTTGTATCCGCACGAGGCAGCTGCCGAGGGGGAGGTTGTGCTGCGTGAGGGGCCAGCGCGTCCTTCACCCAGTGTCACCTCTTGGGCATCACGTTTTGCAGTTCAGTCACTTGTGAAATGTCCCGTCCAGTTCTGCGGGGCAAGGGGATGTGGTGACTTGCCTCGCACCTGGGAGCCCCAAGAAAGGGAGTTCCCGGCTCTCTAGTCCCCAGAGCGCTCCCACCTGGCATTGACTTTGCATCCACACCATAGATAGGAGTACCTGGACATGTCCACAAAAGAGATCTGAATCAATGTACCTGATCAGGAATCCTTTCAAATCCATCTTCCTCCTCCTGAGAAACGACCAGCTACTCTTTGCAGACCAGTTTTTTCCAGGTTGTAATGTGGCTTGCCAATGTTGTTTATACAGAACATGAATGAACTCTGTCATCATCTCTACAAGCAAGCAGGGCTTTGTCAGTACTTGTAAAACGGCGATACAAGTTCGTGGTCTCATTTGAACTTTACAGGGAGCTAACAGTTGCTTCATTTTATCACTGGTAAATTTTAACTCACCAGAATAAAGTAACATTTTACATCTAACTGTGAAAGGGATCGTCTTTAAGGCCACCTTAGTAAAGTTAAGCATCTATGTGATGTACCTACACATATGCACATATACATAGGCAGCATATATGTAGGATTAGGGTCCAAGTTGATTAATCAAGAAAAGTAATGAACATCTAAGCCAGGGGTGGGCAAAATGTGGCCCGTGGGCCAGATTTGGCCCGCCAGGCCATTCTATCCGGCCCACGGGGCCCCTAAAAAATTTAGAAAATTAATATTTATCTGCACCTGGCTGCCTGTCATGAGGCCTTTGATGGTTTGCCAAAACTCGGTAAGTGGCCCTCCACCTGAAATAATTGCCCACCCCTGACTAAGCTTTAGTGTTCTTTCCATGCATAGGAAAGCAACTGAACTTGCTATCTTTTTTAAATAAAAATTTACCAAAGTCACATTAGTAATAAACATATTTTACATGGAACTAAAGGTGCAACATTATACAACTTAAATACCTTGCCCTGTATGCCTATTATCTTATACTATTATATCATCTTTATATTATTTTATTGAAGTAAGAAGACTACATAGTATGAAAACATGGAAAATAGTTAAATAAAATTGCTTGGACAAAAACCCACATTTTTACCTAGATTTTATGTTATCTGTGATAGTTCAAGGCTAATATATATCCAATTATTTATTAATTTCACAGAACGATGATCTTTTTAGGATCACAATAGTGACACTATGCTGTATAAAGCATTCTGGTACAGCCAACTGCAGACTGATGAAAGAAACCAGACAAAACTGCAGTTGTTCAGAACGTCATTCTCCAGGTAGAAGGGCAATGCTATAAACTTATTTACTGATTTATTAGCTTATTTTGTTGTATGTTAAGCACTTCACATGCTTTCCACTGCACATAACACAAATAAGGAAATACCATGCCCCTAAAAGCCTTAAAGACTAAACTACACAAAGATGACTAGATGCTCTATGAGACCTGTAGGAAATGTCTTATGAACAAAGAATTTACAAGCACAAGTTATTGGTGCGCTGTCCTCAGTATGGCACCAAATTGGACTAATGGGGATTAGTATCTTTTGGCGACATGGAAGAATCAAATCATTAGGAAAATATGAACAGCAAGAAATGAGAGTCTGTCCACTGCCGTAGCAACAAAGTTCAGCACCTGGGGCAAAGCCTGCAGTGGCAGCCTGCCCTCACCCCGTGCGCTGACCAGGGGGGCATGCCCCCCCATGCTTGCCCAAGAGTGCACGCAGCAGCAGGACCCACCCTCCCCTCATTCGCGTACCCCTGCAAATGAGCAGCTTGCAGCTCCATCTCACACCCTGCCCCACCTGGGCAGTGCCTGTTGGCACCCTTTCACTTCATCTGTCACACAGGGATTAAGAGGTTCCACTCATCACAAGGGTATCACAGAGAAGGTCTGTCATAGGTACACTAAAAGACCTAACAGGACTTAAATAGGTAACAAGATCTGAGCTGTGCAGGGCCTTGTGAAGGGCCCAGGACATCTTGATATAATGGGTCAGTAGTTCTCAATGAAAGTACCAAAAGATCTTTTCAAGGGTGTTGCAGTGCCAGCTTCACTGCCACCAGGCAGAACTGTCCTTTCTGCCTCTCCACAAGGCATGTTTGGAGTCAGGCCAGGAAGCAGCTGCAGTAGAAGCAGGCACTCCTGCCTCAGGCAGGGAACCCCTTCTTGCCACAGCTGCTTCCCAGTCTGGCTCTAGACAACCAGATTGGAGGACAATGATGAGGAGAGTAGCAGCAACAGCAGCTGCAGATCCTCCAGCAGGAACAGCAGTGACAATGGATGAACTGAGACTTTAAACCCCATAACTGGAGAATGGACTAAGGGACTGTGTTTGGGGTAGGGAGGCTGGCAGGCAGTTGTGTGGGAGTGCAGGCCTCTGGGTATGTGTTTTGTAATGGGTTTATGTGTTTTGGGGTGTGAGTGAAGGTATGTGATCAAAGGCTACTAGAAGTTATAGATATATATGTCACCTGGGCGGTACTCTAAGAGGTACCCCCTCTCCAACTGAAGGGATCAGAGCAGGTGCACAAGCTCCGTGGGAGGTGTAGGGACCCTCCTCCCCCTATAGAGCGGAGCCAGATCACTAATGGGGACTTAACCATATACCTTTTAATGAGAGAACAATACTGGGAACATAACCAGTATAAACCAGGGGGTATAGGGGACACTACAACACCCCGAGGGGGCAGGATTCAATAAAGGTTTGATGAGTACAATCATAGGCATATTCGTCTAGTTAACAAAAGACAGGGTTAATAAAATATAAAACACAAACAGCAGAACAAACAATACTGGTTGGCGAAATATAAAAGGCACAAAATACAAAACGTCAAATAACAAGGAATATAGGGCCTAGGTACCTGGAGGTGGGGAAAGAGGGGAAAACACAATGACCCCTTTCCACTGCAACAAGAACTTCTCCCTGTCACTTCACTCACCCCCAGCTAGGACTTAAACTTAGATCTCCCACATGGTAGGCAGAAACTCTACCACACAGCCTGCAGTGCTAGTCCTACTCTAACCTGCTAGGGGTCTTGACCTTCCCGGAGCCCCGGCCTCACATCAAGCTGCCTGGCCTCTTATTGGAGGAGCTGGAAGCAGAGCTGAGAGCCTCTCAGGTCACTGCTAAGATCCTTGCTGGAGTTGGGGAACCTTTCCTGCTGGCCACAGACTCTCATAGGGGATCCTGGAGCCTGGCGGGGAGCCTTTCTTGCCGGCTGCACACCGCACTGCTGAGGGTCCAACTGCTGCCTTCAGGTCCCACTCCTTCAGGCTCTTCTGGGGCAACTGCTCCTGCCCTGCTGGCCCAGCTCTTTGAAGCTCCTTCCTTGTGGTCCCTCGCTGGTCTCTCCTGAGTCAGCTGCATTGCCCCTCTTACCCGCCTCCAGGTGACCCAAGGGGCCAATCAGGGGACATGGAGGGTGAGTCTCTGGGGCCTGATTGGTGAGGAAAGGGAATCCCAAGCCTTCCAATCATCTTTTACCCTTTCAAAACCCCTGGGCCAAATCACTACCAGCCAGCCTATCACATATATAACTTATGTATATATATAAAGACATATATTTTTCTAAAAAAAATAATTCCTGCTAGAAACAGGTGCGTGGGACAGTTCAACCTAGTACCAACAGGTTGGCAACCTGGAGAGTTAGCCAGCTAAGAACCACTGTTCCATGGATTTATCTTCAGGCTACTGCAGCCAGGTGGAACTGTCCCACAGGCCTCTGTTTCCAGGAGACACATTTGGGGGGGAGGAGGGCTGAACCTGGAAGTGGCTTCAGTTGGACATGGGGGAGAAGAGAAGTGGCTTCTGCCTATTTTAAGTTTATCTGATAAAATAGGTAAAGCTGAGACAGTAAAACAGTGGCTCTCACTGGGTGCTGCTAAATTCAGAAGAGTTATGGAGGAGTTCTGTGAGTCTAAAAAAGGTTGAAAACCACTGTAATGGGTTAAAGGAGTGAATGGTGGGATGCAAAAAAGGAAGTGGCAAAGTAAAAGCTGTGGAAGGGGAGATCATTTTAGCAGCTATGTGCAGACTGCCTTGAAGTGAGACAGGTGTAAAACCAAAAGGCTAAAGAAGAGAATGTGACTTTGCCATGGACAAAAGGGTTGTGTTTTGTAGCCTAAAGGTTTAATAATTAGAACTGAACATATTGTTCTTAATTTTAAAGATAACTTAATGTTAATTGATGCCACTGAAGGTCAAGGTCTTTGGTCTCTGCCCTTCCTCATCATTTTTTTCCTGAACTCTGGAGAAGACCCATCATTTAGTGATTTTGATTATAATAGTGGTAAGGATTTTCTGAGGCACATATTTAGGACTAAATTTCAAAGATCCTGTTGCATTTGTGTAATGATAGCTGTAGGCTCAGCTACTTCTGAACTTTCTGAATAGTGACTTTTCTTTTTTTTAAAGATATATTGCTGTGCACAGGGAAGTTGATAATTTGGCTGAGAAGTATATATCCTTGCACAGCACAGAGAATTTGAGAGGGTTACATTGCTGCTGTACAGCCAGCTTTTTCTGCACCTTTATCAATCTCTCTTTGAGGGAGTATTATTTCTAAGTAAGTTAAGACTGATGAAGAACAATTCAGAGTTTCTCCTGTGGCTTGCTCTCCTGCCACGCCTTGATGGGAGATAATTGAAAAATAAGGAAAAACATATGGGTAACTCTGAGAGATCGCCACTGTTGTAAAGCCGTATTTTAACCCACTTAATGATACCATGCCCCTGAGATCTGCTCACTACAGAAGAGATACAATGATTTGCAGTCTCTGTGGGCATGCTTCACTCACAGCATTGCCCTCATAAATTAATAACAAAAAGTGGAAAGAAGAAACAAAAAGAGCAGCTTCTCAGACTGGCTATATCCCCCAACTTGGGTTTAGAGCAATTGGTTCAGTCTCTACAGTCCAGTTATCCAGTCCTATAATGTATAATGATGTCTATGGTTATCCTTTGTTACCTCACCTGGGGTTCACCAACTCTCGATTTCAGCCAGCGCTCCTGTGCCTGCAGTCTCATGAAACGCTGCTCTCTGTCGCTTTTGTGCCTCCACATGAAAATTATCACTGTTGACAAATCACCATGGCTCCAGATTCCCCTTTTGGGGATCTATACTGTTCACTCATCTCTCTTTTATCTTTGTCATTTCCGGTCACTCAATTATCAATGTCTCTTGTCTTTCAGGTGCGGTGAACACTCCCAGTGCTGGTTAATGACATCAGTTTTTTCTTGCTGTTTTGTCACCTGTGTGGTAAGTTTCTTTTCTTTGTTATATTCAAGTAACAGGGAGTGACGTCTCCCTGTTACCCTCTCCTAGTCAGGCA